TATTTAAATGTGTGTCTCTTTTTTTTAAATCATGGAAAAAAATGTGTTAACTCTTATTTCTTTAGCTGGTCATTTTGAGAATTTTTTAGGCTAAAATTGCATAAATAAACTGTTTGAATCCTGAATATTACCCTAAAAAAACTACTGAACAAATTCATTTTATTTTAGCTTCATCTCCTTCTCGAAGAAAGCCCAGCTCATCATTGCACAGTAAACGATCACCGGAGGCTAAGAGGGCTCCAAAAAGGCACGATTCAGACTCTGATGTGTCACCTCCACGGAAAAAACCACTGAAGAGAGACGCTTCGGATTCAGYCCAGTCTCCTCCAAGAAGACGCTCAAAAAAAAGACAAGACTCTGATTCTGACCAGTCTCCACCCAGGAGGCGGCCACAGAGCGGAAATAACTCAGATGGAGATTTGTCACCACCTCGTCGACCTGGACCATCGCAGGTGAGCGAAACATACACATTCATAGGTTTTAAATAAAACTTCCCAAATTCAAACTATTAAAGTTTTGTTTTTGTTCACCCTCCTGCAGGGTCAGAGGATGCTTTCAGGTGGAAAAGCAGGGCTTATTTCTATTGACYTTTTGAGGAAAGAGCAAGAAGAGAATCGACGCAGAGACAAAAACAATCAGCCGCTAGAAGGTTGGTTTTTTTGTCTAGTTGGTTTTAAGACTCATAGAACATCACGTCTTATCAGCTCCATCCTTACCAATAAAGTTTGTCCTTTGATCTCTTTTTCTATTGTATTCTGCTTTGTCAAGATGCATCCCGCGGTGCCCAGACTGTGTTTCGAGACAAAAGCGGTAAAAGGAGGGACTTGGATTCAGAAAGAGAGGAGCAGAAGAGAAAAGCAGGAGAAAAAGCTGCAAAGGATGAGAAATACGCTCAGTGGGGGAAAGGGTAAATCTGCAAAAAAACCCTGCTTCACATCTGAAAAGACACAGAGCCTGTGTAATATGCTTCACTCAGTAAAGTCAAATTGTGTGTGTAGGTTGGCCCAGAACGAGATGCGTCAGCAGAAACTTGAGGACGCTCTGCACGAAGCCCAGAAGCCGCTGGCACGTCACCATGATGACGAGGAGCTTGACCGCATGCTGAGGGAGCAGGAGAGGGAGGGGGATCCCATGGCAGCAATGCTCAGACGCAAAAAGGATAAAAACAAAAAAACACAAGGTTTTAAACATTCCCTTACATTTATTTTAGTTTAATAAATCTCTTATAAGGCAGGTAAAATCCTCAAGTGTCAATTTTTTCTTGTTTTTCAGACAAACCTCGTTATAATGGCCCTCCACCTCCTCCAAACAGGTTCAACATTATGCCAGGTTATCGGTGGGATGGAGTCGACAGGTAAAGTTTGTGTAACGCTCCCAGGAAATTCCAACAGGAGTGTCAAATAGAACCATAGCAAGTTCATAAGTTAGCCACTATAGCATTTTAATATGTAGTTGTTTTTTTTTTCTGTTGCACAGTTGTTTGTAGAGTTGTTGTTTTCACTCTGAGTTGAACTTATTAGAAGGCTGACATTTGCTCTGTCAAACCAAATCCAGACAGGATGCACATGGCAAATAAAACACACACAACTGGTCTTAGAAGTCAACTGGAATAGAAGTCCATTTTTTAAATGGTGTTTTATTTGTTTCATAGGTCAAACGGTTTTGAACAGAAGCGTTACTCACGGATCGCTGATAAAAAGGCCGTTCAGGAGGCAGCTTATAAATGGAGCGTGGAGGACATGTAACGGCACCAGAAACTGACCGGTTGGGGTCCAGTAGATGTTCTCTCGTCTTTGAAACCACCAGACACATGAGGACTTTTTGTTCCAAACCTATTTGATACTATATTACAGACGTGACTGTGAATGAGTATAAAGTGAAAACATGTCAATGATTTTGTTATACCTGAGGCAGTGGGAAGCAAGAACAGATGTATGTTTTACTGTCTTATTAAAAAAATGGTTTTGTAAAGTTTTGTGCTGAGTATTTATATACGACCCGAGATTTTACTGCTCTTCAACTGTTTTATTATTAATATTTTAAATACGTAAGCAAAGCAAGTAATTTTTTTCACTTTTACATGCTATTTTTGTGTTTCTTAATTGTACTTTATTTGAATAAAGTGTATATAAGAAGTTCTTTCACCTTTTCTTCAAATGGCAGGAACCTTTAAGTTTACAAATATCTGAATGTTATTAAAACTCCTGTCATACTATAACAGGKGCGCCTAAACATTTTCCCTGAGAGGGCCAAAATTAAAATCAATCTGAGGGCCGCGGGCCAAATGCAATAATATAAGAAATGCAAACATTTCAATAAATTTTATGATTAAGCTAGCAGCCAGTGTGTTTGCCCACATTCTTTAGTTGTTTTTTTTTTTCAGCACATGGACGTGGAGAAAATTCAATGTATGCTCAGGCAGCAAAGGCTCATGGGAATTTTCATAATTTAAAATTTGAGTTAATGTGGTCTTATAAGGTGTGCAAATCTATATATGGGCTTAAATCTAATCTAAATATCTCTTGTAGTTACTTGTATTTTGTAATTAATATTAACATAATTACAATCTAGTAACCAGGACAACTGCTGGTGGGCCAAATCAAATGGCTCAGCGGGCCAACTTTGGCCRGCGGGCCCCACTTTGGGCACCTCTGTACTATAACATTTTAGACAACTTGTGCCAACATTTTGTCAAACACTGAAAATGCCTGCACAGAAGATTGAAAAAATAACAATCTACTTGATGCCTCTTTTATATACTTACTGTAGTGCTAACASTTATGTAGAATATATAACCTATATGAGTAATTTAGTCCTAACATTTCACAAGTCAGCATAAGTTGTTTAAAACCTTACAGTGTGACAGGGCCCAGGTTCAAATGATCTAGAAGCCCATCTTGAAATGGTAGCTGAGTTAAAGAGATGCTGTTAAATTCTGTTTAGGATGATTAAATTTATTATAAAATTAAATGGATGAAAAGGTTAAATGATTTCAGTCTGCTTTTACTGTAGCTGTGTGTGGAGTACTATTATTGATGCTATGACTGTCCCCGATGATCATTAAAAACAAGATCATGCAGGTTTAATAATAATATAAGTGGCAGAAAATTAAATACTTTTTTATTTATTTATATTTTTTGTTTGTTTTTTTGTAGATTATCCATTGATTATTAGCGAATTGACCATGCCTGTAGTACCAGGAACCATTATTAGAACACAGTGTTTCCGTCCGGGTTGTTTTTGTTGTTGCACGCGAAACAAACTTGACAATCCTCACGTGAAATGTCTGACTGGTGTCCGATAGCGAAGGAGTACGACCCGCTGAAAGCTGGCAGCATCGACGGGACGGATGTGGAGCCTCATGACCGAGCCGTATGGAGGGCTATGTGTGCCCGCTACAAGCCCAACAAAGGCGTCCAGGGAGACCCGCTTCTCACGCTGGTCGTGGCCCGCTTGAACCCCCAGACGACCGAGGATAAACTGCACGACGTTTTCTCAAAGTACGGAGACATTAAGCGGCTCCGGCTGGTCCGGGACATCGTGACGGGCTTTTCCAAAAGGTACGCCTTCATTGAGTACAAGGAGGAGCGGTCCCTGATTCGGGCCCGCCGGGACGCTAACAAGCTGGTGGTGGACCAGCATGAGGTGTTCGTGGACTTCGAGCAGGAGAGGACCCTGAAGGGTTGGGTACCGCGGCGGCTTGGCGGCGGGCTGGGTGGCAAAAAGGAGTCCGGCCAGCTGCGGTTCGGAGGCAGTGACAGGCCTTTCCGTAAGCCCATTAACTTCGGGACCGGAGCCGCGCGGGAGCGGGACGGTGATGGGGGCAGAGGCGGGGACTGGCACGGATCGAGAGGACGGGAGGATCGGTACCGACCGAGAGAGGCCGACCGGGGCTTCAGAGACAGGAGGGACTACAGGGACCGAGAGAGGGACGACCGCAGACACAGAGACCGGAGATGAGGAGGAGGAGGAGGAGGAGGAGGAACACTGAACAAAACTGCTGCATGGACAGCACTGACAAACTCTGGATTGTCAGTTTCATTGGCTTTTTCAGATTTTACTGAAATATAAATGAAACGTTCAATTTAAAAATCTCTGCATTTCTTAATCAGCCTACATGTTTTATAATTCCAGCTGTAAAACAGTGGCTCTAAACCTTTTTTATCTGTGTTGAAGATTGGTGACTCTAAACAGAAGCAGACTCAACAACAATTAGAACAATATTAWTCAATAGTTTTATTCCCTGTAAGTTAAGACAAATATGCTCCTTGAGACCTGTTTGTAATTTAATTAAAATGATCTCATCCCCAGATTTATGTTCTAGATGTCAACTGAGCAGCTGGTGACAACTTCACAATTCTGACAAATATTTTAAAGTAACAAGCTTTATTTAAAACTATCAGGTTTTAATACATGGTTCTGAMGATCAAATTACAATGGCAGATAATACCCCAACAGTTGTCTAKAATATAACAAAATAATAGTGTTTGACAACCAATAAAATGTTCCAGTCAATTAAAATTGTGCTTGTAAAATATATGTTTTTGGTTACAAGTTGCCTATAATTGTCTCTTTTTTATATTTGGAACCTTAAATTTAGCTTCTTTAGAGGGAAAATTCAACAGGACTARCGAACACAAAACTATACAACCATGTAAAAACAAAAAGAAGGTCCAAACCTAAATCATTCAGTTGTATTTTTAATCTTCATCAAATTYCTGCTATGTTTTTAAGTTTTCACACTTTTTTTCCCCAGATTTACATTAAAATTTGATGTTTCTGACTCAAAAACTCAATAAATCTCAAATAAATAAAAACAAGATGGTGTGAACAAAGTTTAAATATAACTTGTTTGAAATAAGTGCACAAACCTGATTCATGTTGTATTTACAAAATACCCCAAACAACTGCATTAGAGACACCCTGAGTGTAACTGAGCCTCTGTGTGAGTTTTATTAATAGACACTTCTTCCTGCTGAAACGCTGCGCCTCTGGTGCTGCTGGAGCTTGGCTTTTAACWACYGATTTCATAAAAACCACCTAATTTAATCCTCGCAAAGCTAAAATAAGCGTGCACAAGATGAACAAGAGTAGGCTGATGACAAAAGAAACAAGGACGTTTTTCACTAAAGCCCTCTGGTCATTCAGGTCAGTGTGGTTTTCGTTGCCATCCTGAACCGACAGGACGGTCACTGCTCCAGCAGGATCTTTAGTTTGGAGAACCTTCCTCAGCCGGTCACGGCTGCACATCTTCAAAAGCTCCTTGATCATCTTAGAGGCTCTTTAGGTGTGTGAAGTTTGTGCAGGAGTTCTCAGGGACAAAAGGCTTCTCCAAAAAGTCTTGTTCCAAGTCATACCCTGTCCTGTCCACAGCTCCACGCTTGGTCAGCACCGTGTTGGAGAGACCCTGAGCTGTTCGTGCTCCTGCTGTGACAAGATTTTCATCYATGATCCAACATTAACAAAGTCAGCTTCCTCCTTTAGGTTGTTTGACCTGGTTGTACAGTCAGATCTATGGCACGCTGCAAAGACGGTCCCCTTAAATGTTTGTGCCYAGACGTGAAATATGACCTGAAGCTACAAGCACTGCAGATGTAAAGCACAGGAGGTCACATGTACACGAGTGTTTGCACTGGTGCACAGATTGGTGGAAAATCTCAGTAATGGTTATAAATGGATGTAGTTTAATAAAACATAAATACAGGTAAAATAACTGAAAATGTCAAAATAGGTAGACGTAAAGCCCTATAATTTTATTTTAATTTGCTGCACAAGAGCCAGACTTTAGGGATCCTGATCTTTAACATTTCTGAAAATCTTTCCAAGTTATAATTTATCATTTTCTGTCCAGACCACCTGAGTGAAATAAATGTGTGGTAAGTGTCAGACCTAAAATAAACTATCTTCAGCAGATAAACAGGACCTGAAAGTTCTATGAAATKCATCCAGTGGTTCATGAGATATTTTGCTAACAGACAGTGTTGACTGTTATTCCTTAGGGTTTAAGCAAAGCTCTTTCACACCTCMGTGCTCAACAAGCTTCTTCCTTTTTGCAGAACTGTCAGAGGGTGGATTTCCTTTCTGACATGACTTGCTGACAAGTAGAGGTTTGATTTTATTGGGTTCATCTCAGCCTGCTGCTGTTCTCCATCCTGTGGATCAGAACACAGAGGAATGAGCTGCAGAAAAACCTGATGGTGATGATGATGAAAGCTGGCGTCACTTGAAGGTTTGATGGCAGTGTTGTAGCGGCTGTGGGAGGTCAGATGTTTGCTTCCTGCAGGAGGAGGACGGAAAGGAAAAATCCTGATACTGAGACTTCATGTCTCGATGATGGTTGATGCTGTGACTCAGAGCTAATTCTGCTTTATTTAGTTTGAAGATGATGAAAAATTAACTAACTTTCAGTCACACTCATAAGATTGAGTTATGATAAGTTTCCTTTTTTATTAATCAGTTAAAAAGTATCCTGAGACTAATAAAGTTGTGTTTGTTTATCAGTGTGCGTTGCCAATGCAATGRACACTATTTTGATTCGTTTCCCATCCAAGTCATCTCCACTTTGCCATGCTTCTCCTCCTGCATGCTTTGTCCTAGAGCTGCCATTGTAATTTATATCTGTAAAGCTCCTGTGCCAAATGATGGCTATGCCCTTTGGTGCCTGTACAACTTATAGTTTTTGAAATATTAATGTTTAATAATTTATAATGGGAGTCAACGGAGCCTTGTATTGGTCCAATACTGCCCCATGCTGTATCTACTCAGTACTGCACCATAGTTTAGTGATATTTCAACTCAGTAGTTCAGTGTTTACAATACTAATATGTTAGTATTTTGATGTTTTACTATAATWTTGTCCTAATATTGCTTTATTGTTARAATATATTGCAGTTTAGTGTCAACAGTTGCATTGGCGATGTGGCCTCTTTCTGCACACACCCAAACCAACTCCTGGCAATCTTCTTTGCCACATCTCCAATGGTCTCATTGTTTAATACCTTGGGCTTTCATGTGGGAGATCAGGGTTCAAAACCCAGCGACAGCAACTTTAACAAAAAATCTCTTCAAACTTCTTATTTTCACACAATTACCATCATCACAAACACCTGCTGACTTGACAAGCACAAGCWGGTTTAGAAAACACACTTGYACTTGGTCACCATTCATTCTGCAAGCGCGCTGCTGCAGGTAAAGCCATGCTGCAATGACATGCTACAAGGCAATGCACACTTGTTTTTACATCGTAAAACCCATGTCTAGTATRGTAACTGTCCTTTCCTTTCTTGTCATCACTACAGGCGTGAAAAGGGGAAGCGGTGGCGCAGAGGTCAGAAAAGCTCAGCCTGTGATCGACAGGTCACCGGTTTTAAACCCCTGACCAAAATGTGGGTGGAAAAGGTGAAAAACCCACGCATGCTTCCTTTGCTTAAGGGTGGAGGGCTCAGGGTGGGGCAAACAAGAGTGGAGGCTCCTCAAGGGCCACATCTGCTCTCCCCAGGCTGCCCKAAATGGCAGCCCTCTACTCCATCTTTGTACAAGTTAGCTCACTGTGCTGACCCCTGAAGAAGGGAGTCAGGCAAAAAAAGGGCTAAAAAAGAAGAAATCAAGCTTTAAGGAGCCTGATTAAACAATGAGCAGCCAGAAAACACAACATTTTAGTCCATTAAACATGAAAAAAGACTAATGCAGGACATCACACACCACATTTTCCCACTGCTGTAAAGAAGAGGCAACATTTTACCTTCCTCAGTTAAGGAGGCCACGATTCAGAACTTTGTCCAAGTCGAGGGCCAGTTTCTGCCAATATTTATTAAAAATAATTATGTAACAAATGACCTTAATCCAAATTATGTTTTATGTAGCATGGAGAACATGCATAACCTAATGGATAAAGAAAAAAGATTAAATTTAGAAAGACACACCACATTCATTCTTTAAACCATACTCTCGATCAACAACTTTTTCATTTATTAGATCTTAGAAATACATTATATCACAATCCAGCAAATCAGGTAAAAAAAAAAAAACTAAGAAAACTTTCACTAAAAATCCAGATATTTGATTTTAAATGGGAAAATAATTCAGAAAATAATTACACTTGATTCTCTGTTGCTCCTTCCACACCAAAATAAAATATTACTGAAAATTTTAACCTATTTTTTTTATCTTGAAAGTTGGCCAGCTGTCACGAGAAGAAGAAAAATACAGTGACATAAAGAGAAACGATAAATCTATTTGAAGTACTACTCTTGGGGTCAGATGAAATGTTAACAGGGGCCAGATTTGGCCCACGGTCCTTTAGTTAAACATGTTGGTATGACTGACGATGCAAAAAGAAGACATGGTGGGGACCAGGATGTTGTAGGTGGACGTTGCCAGAATAAAATAATTTTTTGTTTATCAAAAAAGAACACATGACGTCTGCAGTAGTTTAGCATGCTGTCAGCATTTGTCTTCTTCACTGCTTGTGTGAAGCTAATTCAAGCGTGTTTAGTGCCGTAGTCATGGTGTTCCATTCTTCTTCAGTGAATAGTACGTACAGTAGTCACCAACTTTAACAATAAAACAGCAGGATCACCAAGGGAGAGATTAAGATCTGTGCTGGGAGCCCAGTTTAAAGGGAAACTTGAGACACTGAACTTTTTTTTTTGGTTTAGTTTTAATGAACACTTGATTGGTACCAGATGATAAAAAATGCATTGGAGGAGGTTGGATATTCTGAGCCCTAACACTAAGGGTCTTCCAATGATGACTCAAGTAAGGTGCACAATTATTGGTGGCTGAGTGGATTTAGGAACTGCCGTGTTTCATTACACACCAACATAATGACTTAATGAAAAAGGGAGCGTAACACAGTGGGGGTCTTTATGCGGTTTCCTCAGTGTTTGGCCGGCGCTCAGCAATGCTRAGATTAAAGGGTCTGRTTTCAGCAGATCAACACTTRTAATGTAWTTACAAGTTAGAATGTTGTTTCAGCCTTGAATTTCTATTCAGGTCAAGAATAACCATTTAYTGTGTTCAAAGYTATCACAAGTTWACACATTTTCATCATTTAGCTCACTTTCTGAGTGTAGCAGAATGATGTCATCATTCTGTGACAGAAGCTAAACCCTGCTAACGCTACTAAATCTACTGAAGATGGTTTTTAAAATCTAAATTCAAAATGTGTTCATTGAAAACAACATTGGTGGTACCTGCAGTTTGAAGCTGCAGGACCAAATGCAGGTCGGCTGCATTCCATTCTGAAATATAAACTTCAACATTTAACTACTGTACAACATGTAAAATTTAACTTTTACATTTAGATTTATATATTTAGGATTTTAAAGTGGTGGACAGTAGTGGATTACATTTACTTGAGTACTGTACTTGAGTACATTTTTTGAGTATCTTTACTTCACTTGAGCAATTATTTTTTGGGGTACTTATGACTTTTATTACTCCACATTTAAAAGACAAACATTGTACTTTTTACTCCACTACATTTCTAGGAAGCTTTTAGTTACTCGTTTAGTTTAGCATAGTTTTATAATTAGCCTGGTCAAATCCATACAGCAATGTACTGATATTAGAAATTTTTATTTGTACTTTTGAATACTTGAGTACTTTTAAATGCATGTACTTTTTAATAGTTAAGTATTTTCAAAAGTAAGTACTTCAGTACTTTAACTTGAGTAGATTTTTGACGTAACTTTTACTTGTAGTTGAGTAGATTTGACCCTGAGTATCAATACTTTTTACTCAAGTACTAGAGTTGAGTACTTTGCACCACTGATTATTTAGCTTTTAGTAAAAATGAGTAAAATGTAAAAACAGTGAGCAAAAATAATAAAAGAAGAAAGAAAAATAATTTACACCTATAAAGTAAGCTAAACCAGTGYTTCCCAAAGTTGGGGTCCCGAAACATCAAGGTGGGGTCCTTAAAAGATTTTCTGAATTAATTACATTTTTGCCTTAGTTGTTACAAAGGAGTGAGGTTAGTGTATTTAAAATGGATAAATTTAATATAAAAATATTGTTACTATGCCCATGTTTTGTTGATCTGATACAAATGTTTATCATCCAGAAACAGTTGGGGGCTCAGGTCTCTGCTACTGTTATTTTGTGGGT